AGGAAGGAAGGAAGGAAGGAAGGAAGGAAGGAAGGAAGGAAGGAAGGAAGGAAATTGGCTGCCTCAAGAAATGTCTCCATTAAACAGAGATACAAGTAAGAATACTGAACCTTTTCTCCTTCTGTAGCAATTTGGATAGCATTTGGAATAAGCCGAGCTGTCTTCTCTTTTGTCATGAAGGTTATGTCCTTCAAAGCGATAGAAATCTGAAGTTTGAAATAGACATAAAATAAGGCATCTAAAAGGTAATGCTGAAACTAAAAAAAAACAAAATACTAAAATGAGGATAATTAAAGCTGTAGTTTTCACATGATTTCATTTAATTCAGCATTACCACTCATATCAAAACCCTTCCTTTAAAAATAAATGGAAGAGTCGAGTCAAAAACAACCTAAACAGATTGCGTTTCTTTCTTTCTTTTTCCTTATGAAAACAGTACAAACTAAAATATCTTATCATAAAAATGCAAACTTAAAATTCTTAGTGTGAAAATATACTGTCTGTTTCAACATTGTCTGTACATGTGTATGAATGTGTGTAGGTATTTATGTGTACGTAAAAAATACACAATGTATTTTGGACACACACATTTCTTAAAGCACACATGCCTTACCATAGTTTCCCATCTGAAGATGTTACTGTAGAAACAGATCCAGTTTTCAGACAGATATAAGCGTCCTTGAAGAAGGATATCTTTTTGGAGGGCACAGGCATAATCTAAAGAAAAGCATTGCATTTTTATAACATTTTTAAAATGTAGCCAAATACTTAATTAAGTTCATCAAAATTATTTTATTCATTATTTATTTGTTAACTATTTTGTTAAATTATAAAACCATTCCTACATTACCTATACATTTTATTTTGAACAGCTTCAAATACAGATCCCTGATCTTTACATGCATCTTATAACATACCTTGATGTTAGCTTAAAGCAAAGATTGCCTAGAGACAAAACTAATTTTGAATTGAAAGCCTATTATGAGCGTGAAATCATTGAATATTATTATAATGTGCAATCTTCTGTCTCATAACTAAGTTCAGGAGAAACTAGATTTTTTTTACAGCAAATAGTGGGTGTGTACTCTAATTGACTATAATGATTAAAAAAAGATGACTTCACTTAAACTTCTCACTCCTTCCTAAGTTTGTTAAATGATTTAATTTTCTCACCTTCTATCAGCTATGGCACTCTTAGACATGTGAGCCTAAATTATTATCAAAAGCAATAAACTAAACATTAAATCACCCCTCAAGAAAGCTCCCTAAATTTAACAATTATATTAATTTCAAAAACTTTTTTCTCAGCTATATTAGAAAATACTATAGATATTAAGTAAAAGAATTTTTAATTACAACTTTCAGCTTCTAAATTCTTGCTGTGATATTGTTTGAGAAAATTAGTACTGTGAAACACGATTCAAAGGATAAAGCCAAAGGATTAAAATACACCGAATAAGACAAAGATGCACACCTGCTTGCATAATTTAATTACAGTAGTTCTGTGAAATGGTTGCAGATGTAGTGGCTGGGAACATGAGTGTGTGCATACTTTTGGATGCAAAAATATCATGTTGATTGAGATTTGGAAAGATTTGCAGTCAGTGATTGTATCATGTAGTTAAGAGCATAAATCTATCAAAAACCAAAATAGTTGTGTTTGTCAGGGAAATGGAATGGGTAACTGCAAATTATATATAAATGGTGAAAAACCAAGTAAATAAATGAAAGCATATTTCTGGGAGTATTTATTAAAGATGGAGAAGTGTAAATGCTGGTAGAAACAGCATTAAAGAAAAACATTTGCCTATATTGCTGGGAATGTAATGGAAATGAGTTGCTGTGTAAAACAGAAAGAGAAAGAGAGAAAAGAGAAAGACTCTAGAACAGGGATGTCAAACTCGCAACGTCATGGCAGCATCACATGATGTATCAGGATCTCCCCCCCCTTCCCCGTACACTAAACCAGGCGGTGACGGGGCCAGCACATGATGCATCCAGCCCATGGGGCGCAAATTTAATACCTGTGCTCTAGAATGAATTTGCACTAGATTGAATACAAATGAGTAAACCATATGAAAACAATTCAAATAGTTGAGCTACGTAGAGAAAATGAATGCGAGTCAAGTTACGAAACAAACACATCAAGGAAGAATGATATACTAAGGTCAAGATAATGAGAAAGATTTGGAAATTCATAATTGGATGGTGCTGAAAAAAGAAAGATCAGCATCTTGAACAAAAGACAGCATGTGAAGCAATATATAGATATGGTGGTTTTCAAGGGTGGAAAGATATGAAAAAGTATAATGAATAGCGTTGGTATAAATTAGATGTATTCCTTCTTTTTTCTTATCTTATATCTTTAATTTGTTTGGTTACTGCCTATTTGTTTTGTACATGTTGCACAATATCTTTAACTCAAAATGGAACAGCATGATGAAAGTGTGTGTATATGTATCTCTTGTGGTAAGTATAATCTGTGTTTGGCTTCCACATTTTAAAAATTCTAAAGTAGCATGTTAATCCATCTATATTAGTATTGCTAGTTAAAAAAATATCAGCTATAAAAGAAAGTTTCTGGATGCTAAATTTGACATACTGTAGTTATTGGTATAATAAAATAGGACATCAAACATATTGCGAGTTTTAAGATTCAGAGTCAGAGTTTTAACAATTTGTGGATCCAGAATCATAACCCCTGTCTCCTTTTATCTGGGAGCTACACAGGTTTCCTATTCTTTCTGTAAGAGAGAAGCTATAAGAGTCTCTATCAAAAAAGAAATTACTTCTGACCATTACATAAGTGTTAAGAGGAAGGACTGACTTCAGGGAATCTTGCATTTTCTTCTTGTTTCTAAAATGGCCACAGCTCTTTTTGTTCTTGAAAATACTCTAAAAACATGAAAATAAATATTTATAAGTGCTAAAGAATTTCTGTCTTTAAAAAAAAAAATCACCTGCAATAATCTCAGATTCTGCATTACATGTTGAATGGCCAATGAGCATGGTTGTGAAACTAATTTGGAATCACAAGACTCCAGACTGTCTACTGTGCCTAGCAGACTGCATACATTCTCAAAACACAATCATTTATCTCAAATGTAGAATTTACATCATCAGAAGGGAGATTGATATGCTTTGAATCATATTTAAAGTCAGATTATATGAGCCTTTTTAGCAAAAGGAATTCAAGTTGGGGTTTGTTTTTGTTTTAAAAACAAAAGAAACTCTGAACCCAAGGCTGAACATCATGGAATTCAACATTTCTCCACAGCCTTAGAATTAGTTGATTGGCATTTGTAAGGAAGGAAGGGAAAACTAAGTACAGCAAAACCAGGGATACAACTGTTTCAAGAGTTATTTTTAAAAGAATATAGAAAGATTTGGTTAGGAATCTGCAATTAGTCATTTGATTTATTTTTATGTATCCACCCTAGTTAATCTTTTATTGACTTTTGTTTTCCCATCTCTATATAAATTGGGGGATAGAATGCAGAGTATTATATTTTGAATTGTGTTAATGAATATAGCTTTACAGACTTTAATATTTTTTCCTTGATAAACTGTAATTTTGTAAAATCTTAAATCAAACAATAAGCAGTTTGTAGCAAACTAGCACCATCCCGTGGTTTCTGAATAGCATTGCATATTATTTTAAATTTTGTTCCTCTGGAATGCATCCCCCACTTTCTGAGAATGCACCTCCTTATTTCATTCCATCACATTACCTAAAATTTGTATTGGAAAGTTCAATTATATCTTGCTGCTGTTCTACTGAACAATGTCATTTTTCTTACCCACTACAAGTCTTTCCAAATCAGGCAGGTGTGAGAATTGTTTCTTAAATTCTTCATTCCGATATTTGTAAGTAGAACTTGAGACCTGCAAAAATAATGAACTTTAAGAACAAATCCAACTTATAGATAAAAATAAAACATCTGGGGAGCTAGCATTCCGTATTTGTTGTCTCTTAATATTCCTATTATATCCCACCTTAATCCTTTATAGCATTGTGTCTTTTTCCAGTGAACTGGATACAAAACCTTTTTTTAAGTGCATTTAAATAAGCATATGCTTCTTTTAAGTAAAGAATACAGGTTATCCATTGTTATCTAAAGAAAAGATTGTGGAATGTGAAGTAGCTCAAGTTACGTTTTTGTTTTCTTAGAGACAAGATATGCATCTTGAGAGTAATCCACAAGTTGATTTTTCCATGCACAATCATTTTTGGTAAAGAACCCAAAGAGAATGGAAGGACAAGAAAATACTTTTTAACACAACTGCTCAAATAATTAAAAGGCAACTTTCTTATCCCTCACTATGAGTGTTTCCATCCACCTCAAGAACACATAAACAGAATTAAAATAATGTACAATTATATTCTCCCATTTTGTTACAACAATAGGCATACAATAATGACCCCCCCCCCCGTTCATCATTTCTTCTGATCCTAATATAGTGCACTCCTAAACTTCCACTAATCGGAGAATGGAAAAATACAAGCCTCGTAATTCTGCATGGAAAATAGAAAATAGCATTTGGAAGGGGAATCAGTATCAAGCAAACTGTCCCTGCTCCCACAGGCTTAATCTCATTTTCCTTCAGATAAAAAGAAAACCACAGAATGGATTCCAGAAACAAGGCTAAACAGAACTCTGGGTAAATTTCTCTGACCTGACTACCTCAGGAGGCTCTGCTCTCCTCCCAAGTATTCCAAATTGATAGGTGCTAAAAGGGACAGCAGTATTCAGAAAAATCTCAAGGAGTATGTAAAGCCCCCACGCTCCCACTCACATAATAGTAGAAAACACAGCCATACATTTCCTTTGGCCAAAGTAGAAAAATACCTGTTAACAAAATTGAGACAGAAACCACAATATGTAACTGAGATAACCTTTCTTTCAAGGTATAAATCAATCTTTTTAAAACTTAAATGTGCCACGCTTTGAAAAGAGCATTAGTCACATGATTTAAAGCAGATCTAATTAATGATCTTCCAGAAAAATACTAGACACAGATTTATAAGGAGCCTGAATAATTAAGCCCCCCAAAGAAGTCCTGTGGTAAGATGGGCAGCAAATAAATGTAATAACAAATATTACCTATATGATTCTTTGTGAAGCCAGTATCTATATATCACATGTATATAATTGCCCCCTTCATATAGTGACACTATCTTTTATACAGCCTGACCAAAATAGTTATGGCTATGCCAAGTGATTTGGGAAAGGGGGCATGTCAGCAAGTCAAAAAGAGGCCAACATTTCCAGCATTGAAAATGAGGTGTTTCAGGACATTCTGATAACAAGGATTGTGCTGAACAAACAGGAATGGCTAAAGATCAGTCCACATACTGGCTGTAAATGAGACATGTATTCCATACATTCATGGAATCCAAGTGTGGTACACAGTCATTGTGAGATACCTGGAGAAAGGTCTTGCTCCATGATTTGGGAACCTAAGGAAGTGTATACAGGGTCCTCAGTGCTGTCAATGCAACTACCTTTCAATCAGGCCTTTGTTCTTCTGGTTTGGTAAAAGCTTCCAGGAAAATGAACAGCAGGGTTCATGCAGTGATAAATTCGTCATTGCAAGAGGAGACATTCCGAGCACCTTTTAAGGAGGCCCCGATTTGCCCTCTCCTAAAAAAAAATGATTCCACCTGCCTGGACAATTTTTGTCCATTCTCCCATCTTTCCTTTTTAGGGAAGGTGACAGAAAAGGTGTGTGCTAAGATTTCCTAAACCACTTTCAGTCAGGTCTCAGGCCCAGCTATGGGACAAATCATCCACTGGTCGCACTTAAGGATGATCTCTGGCAAGGGCAGAATGGTGGTAGTGCAGCCATCCTAGCTCTCTTTGACCTCTCAGCAGCCTTCCATATTATTGATCATGATAGCCTTTGTGGCCAGCTGAAGTTAGGGCTGGGTGGCACAGTTCTGCATTGGTTTAGTTTCTTTCTCCAAGGCCGATCCCAATCAATACTGATAGGGAGTAAAAGATCCAGCCCTTGACCAGTCTCTTATGGCATACTCAGGACCCAAGACTCTCTCTACTCCTGTTTAGCATCTACATGAAGTCGCTGGGTGAGATCATCCGTCACCTTGGGTTGAGATCAGTAGTGAAATTCAATTTTTTTATTACCAGTTCTGTGGGCATGGCTTGGTGGGCATGGCAAGGGAAGGATACTGCAAAATCCCCACTCCCTCGCCATTCCTGGGGGAAGAATATTGCAAAATCTGTTTTGCAATCTGCTTTGCAAACAAGCCACCTGTTTTGAAGCTCCAGCCACTCCCTCAGAGCGCCTTGTCAGAGATGCCCTTAGATTTTGCCTGTGCCGATGTTACTTGCTTGGAGGGGGGGTGAAGGTTAGAGGAGCATAGGCCAGATAAATTGCTTCGGCAGGCCGTATCTGGCCCGGGGTCCGTAGTTTGGTATGAGCAATGTGTTTATTTCCTTGCTGTGCCTAAGTAGAGGAATACTTTATACAAACAGTCAAATGTTCCCAACTTTCTGGGAATGCTACCCAAATACCATAGTTCCAAACCACAGTTTTCCACAGCTCGCCTCAGGCTACCTCCTTCACCATAATTTCCTTCATCTCCAGCACTCTGGACAAAAATCAGGATGGTATATAAAGGGCATAGAGAATAGCTTTGAAGGAAAGGAAGAAGAGATGATAAAAGATCAACAGCTGAGGCCAAGGAAATAATGTGAACACAACAAACATCTCAGACAAGCCTCCACCCCCCAGTTCACAAAGATGAAGTGAGAAAGGGAAAACACATTCAGGGTGGCAATAGCTGTTACAGTAAAAGTAGTCCTGCCCTACAACACATGGCATTGCTTTCTTAGGCTGCTTTGCCTTGTTGTGCTAACATGCTCCAATCAGGTTTGCTTCAATTCTCACCATTTATCAATCTGGTGAGGGTTGGAACCCAATGACAACCGGAGGACAATCCATTCATTGCATTTTGTATATTGAACTGACTTGCAACATCCAACTTCTTCCCAATCCACTAATGGAAAAGTGTTTCAAGAGTTCAGTTTGGATGCTTTACTTACAGTAACTTTCCATGACTCTTCATTTCCCCAGAGTTGCTCTGGGAAGAGCAGTCTCTTAAGCAGAAGGTATTCTTCCTGTGGGGCACTGGCAGACAGAGGTCTGGACATTAGTGAGATTTGGTCTCCGTCTATGGCCCAGCCTCACTCTTACTTGTAGAGACTGGAGGAGAAAGATTTTGAAACATTTCAGATTAACTATGCACCAATTGGACAAGCAAGAATGTGACCAGGGTAACAACGCTCAATGGAATCAGATACTTCTGTGCAATTAATTGTTTTTCTAAGATGCAGATCAACAGATTTGTAATGTAGAAATATCATTCTTCACCCAAAGAAGCAAAATAATTGATGTTGAATTGTAAGATATGGACATCAGATATTGAATAATATGAAGACAGGTAAAAAAGGGTTATATATGTGTAATAATAAAGGAGAATGGGACATTCTTTCTCTATTTATATTAGTATTAGTATTTTTTTGTTTTTAAGACCCTTATCTGTAGTCCTGTGCTAAATATCCCAAAGATATCCTAGTAATTCTGGGAAATGGATATTTTCAGTAGCTGCATCCAAATTTACTAATCCTCTCAGGGCAGAAACCTACTGTACTGGGGTGGGTTCCTGCAGGCAGTACTGCTGGTTCACGTGCTGCAGACACATGCACACACATGTGTAGTGCAATTAAAACAAGATGGTGGTGCTGATGGCGCCGCCCGGGGAACCAATTCGGGGGCGTGACAGGCCTTGGTTGCTGCTGATTCTAGCGAGCCAGGCCACCAAACCACTACTGGTTTGGCCGAACCAGTCCAAACCGGTAGGAACCCAGCACTGCTACTGTGCAAATTTTTTAATAGTGTGGCTGCATGGTAAAGTCCCCCTACTGTATAGTAAGTAAGACTAGTAAGTAAGTAAGACTTAAGTCTGGAGAAACCTTTTTAACTTAATTTCTTTGAATTTTTTTTCAATGGTTCTCTATTTATATAGCCTATTTCTATAGATTTTTTCCCCATAAAATCATACAGTTGGAAAGGGCCAGAGAAGTCATCTACTTCAACTCACTTTCAATGTGATATCCGATACAGCTTATCTCACAAAAGACCATTCTGTTGATGACATCTAGTGAACAACTCATCATATATGTGTCAAGTAGATTCCACTAGTTGACAATGTGTATAGTCAGGATTTCTCTTCTGAACCTTCTTTGTAGTTGTAACTCAATGGTTTTGATTTTGTTCTCTGAGGCAATAGAGAATACCTTTATTCACTCAGATATATCAAATAACTTGAAGAGTTATATCTCTCCTGGGACATCTTTTCTGTACAGAGATTGTCTATTTTTCTCAGTGCTTGGTTTCAGGCCCTTTTCTGAATTTACTCCAATTTGATACTGTCCTTTTAACTGTGGTGCTTAGAGCTGGATGCAATACTATACTCCAAAGGGATCTAAACAAGGCAAAATTTACTGGAAAAATTACTTCCTGTGATCTGGATCCTATGTTCTTGTTATTGCACCCCAAAATAGCATTTGCCTTTTTAGTAACTCCATCATACTCTCTCACACCCACATACCTTACATATTTCCTATTAATATGTGAAACTTGACATTTCTCCTGTTGAATTCCATCCTATTCATTTAAGTTCACTGCTCAGGCCAGCCTTGATTTTTTAAAAACATTATATTTTGCATCTAATATATGAGCCTTTCAAACTTACATGATCTGCAAATCTAGAAAAAAAAACAAGAAAAGCACAGGACCCAGTGCAGAGTGTTGTGATGATCCACTTAATAATTCCTTCCAAGTTGAAGTAGAGCCCCTAG